AGCAAATTGTGACCTTAAATGATAGAGCCATTCTTTCACTATAATCAGAAGAGGTCTTTTGATGAAAAGATGTCAGAAGTGGGATTCGAACCCACGTCTCCAGAAGAGACTGCGACCTGAACGCAGCGCCTTGGACCGCTCGGCCATTCTGACTCTCAAGTTCATTGTTAAGACAAAGTACTTTGTCAATCATTAAAACCTGTTCTCAGTAGAGGTAAAGAATTATTTGTAAGACGATTGTAAATGTTCAGAGATTTGCCTGGCTTAAGATTTTAAAACTATGGATTTGTAGCAAATTGTCACCCTAAACGATAGAGCCATTCTTTCACTATAATCAGAAAACGTCCTTTGATGAACAGATGTCAGAAGTGGGATTCGAAGCCTCGCCTCCAGAAGAGACTGTGACCTGAACACAGCGCCTTGGACCGCTCGGTCATTCTGACTCTCAAGTTCATTGTTATTACAATGTACTTTGTTGATCGTTAAAACATGTTCACAGTAGAGGTACATAATAATTTGTAAGACGATCGTAAACGTTCACAGATTTGCCTTGCTAAAGATTTTTGAACTAGGGATTCGTGGCAAAGTGTGAGCCTAAACGATAGAGCCATTCTTTCACTATAATCAGAATATGTCTTATGATGAACAGATGTCAGAAGTGGGATTCGAACCCACGCCTCCAGAAGAGACTGCGACCTTAACGCAGCGCCTTGGACCGCTCGGCCATTCTGACTGTCAAGTTCACTGTTATTACAATGTAGTTTGTACGTCATTAAAACCTGTTCTCAGTAGCGGTACAGAAAAATTTGTAAGACAATCGTAAACATTCACAGATTTGCCTTGCTTAAGATTTTTAAACTTCGGATTCTTATCAAATTGTAACCCTAAACGATAGAGCCATTCTTTTACTATAATCAGAATATGTCTTTTGATGAACAGATGTCAGAAGTGGGATTTGAACCCACGCCTCCAGAAGAAACTGTGACCTGAACGTAACGCCTTGGACCGCTCGGCCATTCTGACACTCAAGTTCATTGTTATGACAATGTACTTTGTTCGTCATTAAAACCTGTTCTCAGTAGAAGTACAGAATAATTTGTAAAACGATCGTAAACGTTCACAGATTTGCCTTGCTTAATATTTTTAAAGTACGGATTTGTAGCAAATTGTGACCCTAAACGATAGAGCCATTCTTTCACTATAATCAGAAAATATCCTTTGATGAACTGATGTCAGAAGTGGGATTCGAACCCACGCCCCCAGAAGAGACTGCGACCTAAACGCAGCGCCTTGGACCGCTCGGCCATTCTGACTCTCAAGTTCATTGATATTACAATGTACTTTGTTCGTCATTAAAACCTGTTCTCAGTAGAGGTACAGAATTATTTGTAAAACGATCGTAAACGTTCACAGATTTGCCTTGCTTAAGATTTTTAAACTATGGATTTGTAGCAAATTGTGACCCTAAACGATAGAGCCATTCTTTCACTATAATCAGAATATGTCTTTTGATGAACAGATGTCAGAAGTGGGATTCGAACCCACGCCTCCAGAAGAGACTGCGATCTGAACGCAGCGCCTTGAACCGCTCGGCCATTCTGACTGTCAAGTTCCTTGTTATTACAATGTACTTTGTTGATCGTTAAAACCTGTTCTCAGTAGAGGTACAAAATAATTTGTAAGACAATCGTAAACATTCCCAGATTTGCCTTGCGTAAGATTTTTAAACTACGGATTAGTAGCAAATTGTGACCCTAAAAGATAGAGCCATTCTTTCACTATAATCAGAAGAGGTCTTTTGATGAACAGATGTCAGAAGTGGGATTCGAACCCACGCCTCCAGAAGAGACTGCGACCTGAACGCAGAGCCTTGGACCGCTCGGCCATTCTGACTGTCAAGTTCATTGTTATGACAAAGCACTTTGTCGATCATTAAAACCTGTTCTCAGTAGAGGTACATAATAATTTGTAAGACGTTCTTAAACGTTCACAGATTTGCCTGGCTTAAGATTTTAAAACTATGGATTTGTAGCAAATTTTCACCCTAAACGATAGAGCCATTATTTCACTATAATCAGAAAATATCCTTTGATGAACTGATGTCAGAAGTGAGATTCGAACCCACGCCTTCAGAAGAGACTGCGACCTAAACGCAGCGCCTTGGACCGCTCGGCCATTCTGACTGTCAAGTTCATTGTTATTACAATGTACTTTGTTCGTCATTAAAACCTGTTCTCAGTAGAGGTACAGAATTATTTGTAAAACGATCGTAAACGTTCACAGATTTGCCTTGCTTAAGATTTTTAAACTATGGATTTGTAGCAAATTGTGACCCTAAACGATAGAGCCATTCTTTCACTATAATCAGAATATGTCTTTTGATGAACAGATGTCAGAAGTGGGATTCGAACCCACGCCTCCAGAAGAGACTGCGACCTGAACGCAGCGCCTTGGACCGCTCGGCCATTCTGACCCTCAAGTTCACTGTTATGACAATGTACTTTGTTCGTCATTAAAACCTGTTCTCAGTAGAAGTACAGAATAATTTGTAAAACGATCGTAAACGTTCACAGATTTGCCTTGCTTAATATTTTTAAACTACAGATTTGTAGCAAATTGTAACCCTAAACGATAGAGCCATTCTTTCACTATAATCAGAATATGTCTTTTGATGAACAGTTGTCAGAAGTGGGATTCGAACCCACGCCTCCAGAAGAGACTGCGACCTGAACGCAGCGCCTTGGACCGCTCGGTCATTCTGACTCTCAAGTTTATTGTGAAGACAATGTACTTTGTTCGTCATTAAAACCTGTTCTCAGTAGAGGTACAGAATAATTTGTAAAACGATCGTAAACGTTCACAGATTTGCCTTGCTTAAGATTTTTAAACTACGGATTTGTAGCAAAATGTGACCCTTAACGATAGAGCCATTCTTTCACTATAATCAGAAAACGTCCTTTGATGAACAGATGTCAGAAGTGGGCTTTGAACCCACGCCTCCAGAAGAGACTGCGACCTGAACGCAGCGCCTTGGACCGATAGGCCATTCTGACTGTCAAGTTCATTGTTATTACAATGTACTTTGTTTGTCATTAAAACCTGTTCTCAGTAGCGGTACAGAAAAATTTGTAAGACAATCGTAAACATTCACAGATTTGCCTTGCTTAAGATTTTTAAACTTTGGATTCATATCAAATTGTAACCCTAAAGGATAGAGCCATTCTTTCACTATAATCAGAATATGTCTTTTGATGAACAGATGTCAGAAGTGGGATTTGAACCCACGCCTCCAGAAGAAACTGTGACCTGAACGTAACACCTTGGACCGCTCCGCCATTCTGACCCTCAAGTTCATTGTTATGACAATGTACTTTGTTCGTCAATAAAACCTGTTCTAAGTAGAGGCACAGAATAATTTGTAAAACGATCGTAAACGTTCACAGTTTTGCCTTGCTTAATATTTTTAAACTACGGATTAGTAGCAAATTGTGACCTTAAATGATAGAGCCATTCTTTCACTATAATCAGAATATGTCTTTTGATGAAAAGATGTCAGAAGTGGGATTAGAACCCACGTCTCCAGAAGAGACTGCGACCTGAACGCAGCCCCTTGGACCGCTCGGCCATTCTGACTCTCAAGTTCATTGTTACGACAAAGTACTTTGTCAATCATTAAAACCTGTTCTCAGTAGAGGTAAAGAATTATTTGTAAGACGATTGTAAATGTTCAGAGATTTGCCTGGCTTAAGATTTTAAAACTATGGATTTGTAGCAAATTGTCACCCTAAACGATAGAGCCATTCTTTCACTATAATCAGAAAACGTCCTTTGATGAACAGATGTCAGAAGTGGGCTTTGAACCCACGCCTCCAGAAGAAACTGCGACCTTAATGCAGCGCCTTGGACCGCTCGGCCATTCTGACTGTCAAGTTCACTGTTATTACAATGTACTTTGTTCGTCATTAAAACCTGTTCTCAGTAGCGGTACAGAAAAATTTCTAAGACAATCGTAAACATTCACAGATTTGCCTTGCTTAAGATTTTTAAACTTCGGATTCGTATCAAATTGTAACCGTAAACGATAGAGCCATTCTTTCACTATAATCAGAATATGTCTTTTGATGAACTGATGTCAGAAGTGGGATTTGAACCCACGCCTCCAGAAGAAACTGTGACCTAAACGTAACGCCTTGGACCGCTCGGCCATTCTGACCCTCAAGTTCATTGTTATGACAATGTACTTTGTTCGTCATTAAAACCTGTTCTCAGTAGAAGTACAGAATAATTTGTAAAACGATCGTAAACGTTCACAGATTTGCCTTGCTTAATATTTTTAAACTACGGATTTGTAGCAAATTGTGACCCTAAACGATAGAGCCATTCTTTCACTATAATCAGAAAATATCCTTTGATGAACTGATGTCAGAAGTGGGATTCGAACCCACGCCCCCAGAAGAGACTGCGACCTTAACGCAGCGCCTTGGACCGCTCAACCATTCTGACTCTCAAGTTCATTGATATTACAATGTACTTTGTTCGTCATTAAAACCTGTTCTCAGTAGAGGTACAGAATTATTTGTAAAACGATCGTAAACGTTCACAGATTTGCCTTGCTTAAGATTTTTAAACTATGCATTTGTAGCAAATTGTGACCCTAAACGATAGAGCCATTCTTTCACTATAATCAGAATATGTCTTTTGATGAACAGATGTCAGAAGTGGGATTCGAACCCACGCCTCCAGAAGAGACTGCGATCTGAGCGCAGTGCCTTGGACCGCTCGGCCATTCTGACTGTCAAGTTCCTTGTTATTACAATGTACTTTGTTGATCGTTAAAACCTGTTCTCAGTAGAGGTACAAAATAATTTTTAAGACAATCGTAAACATTCACAGATTTGCCTTGCTTAAGATTTTTAAACTTCGGATTCGTATCAAATTGTAACCCTAAACGATAGAGCCATTCTTTCACTATAATCAGAATATGTCTTTTGATGAACAGATGTCAGAAGTGGGATTTGAACCCACGCCTCCAGAAGAAACTGTAACCTGAACGTAACGCCTTGGACCGCTCGGCCATTCTGACCCTCAAGTTCATTGTTATGACAATGTACTTTGTTCATCATTAAAACCTGTTCTAAGTAGAGGCACAGAATAATTTGTAAAACGATCGTAAACGTTCACAGTTTTGCCTTGCTTAATATTTTTAAACTACGGATTTGTAGCAAATTGTGACCCTAAACAATAGAGCCATTCTTTCACTATAATCAGAATATGTCTTTTGATGAACAGATTTCAGAAGTGGGATTCGAACCCACGCCTCCAGAAGAGACCGCGACCTGAACGCAGCGCCTTGGACCGCTCGGCCATTCTGACTGTAAAGTTCCTTGTTATTACAATGTACTTTGTTGATCGTTAAAACCTGTTCTCAGTAGAAGTACATAATAATTTGTTAGACGATCGTAAACGTTCACAGATTTGCCTTGCATAAGATTTTTAAACTACGGATTAGTAGCAAATTGTGACCTTAAATGATAGAGCCATTCTTTCACTATAATCAGAATATGTCTTTTGATGAACAGATGTCAGAAGTGGGATTTGAACCCACGCCTCCAGAAAAAACTGTGACCTGAACGTAACGCCTTGGACCGCTCGGCCATTCTGACCCTCAAGTTCATTGTTATGACAATGTACTTTGTTCGTCATTAAAACCTGTTCTAAGTAGAGGCACAGAATAATTTGTAAAACGATCGTAAACGTTCACAGTTTTGCCTTTCTTAATATTTTTAAACTACGGATTTGTAGCAAATTGTGACCCTAAACGATAGAGCCATTCTTTCACTATAATCAGAATATGTCTTTTGATGAACAGATTTCAGAAGTGGGATTCGAACCCACGCCTCCAGAAGAGACCGCGACCTGAACGCAGCGCCTTGGACCGCTCGGCCATTCTGACTGTCAAGTTCCTTGTTATTACAATGTACTTTGTTGATCGTTAAAACCTGTTCTCAGTAGAAGTACATAATAATTTGTTAGACGATCGTAAACGTTCACAGATTTGCCTTGCATAAGATTTTTAAACTACGGATTAGTAGCAAATTGTGACCTTAAATGATAGAGCCATTCTTTCACTATAATCAGAAGAGGTCTTTTGATGAAAAGATGTCAGAAGTGGGATTCGAACCCACGTCTCCAGAAGAGACTGCGACCTGAACGCAGCGCCTTGGACCGCTCGGCCATTCTGACTCTCAAGTTCATTGTTAAGACAAAGTACTTTGTCAATCATTAAAACCTGTTCTCAGTAGAGGTAAAGAATTATTTGTAAGACGATTGTAAATGTTCAGAGATTTGCCTGGCTTAAGATTTTAAAACTATGGATTTGTAGCAAATTGTCACCCTAAACGATAGAGCCATTCTTTCACTATAATCAGAAAACGTCCTTTGATGAACAGATGTCAGAAGTGGGATTCGAAGCCTCGCCTCCAGAAGAGACTGTGACCTGAACACAGCGCCTTGGACCGCTCGGCCATTCTGACTCTCAAGTTCATTGTTATTACAATGTACTTTGTTGATCGTTAAAACATGTTCACAGTAGAGGTACATAATAATTTGTAAGACGATCGTAAACGTTCACAGATTTGCCTTGCTAAAGATTTTTGAACTAGGGATTCGTGGCAAAGTGTGAGCCTAAACGATAGAGCCATTCTTTCACTATAATCAGAATATGTCTTATGATGAACAGATGTCAGAAGTGGGATTCGAACCCACGCCTCCAGAAGAGACTGCGACCTTAACGCAGCGCCTTGGACCGCTCGGCCATTCTGACTGTCATGTTCACTGTTATTACAATGTAGTTTGTACGTCATTAAAACCTGTTCTCAGTAGCGGTACAGAAAAATTTGTAAGACAATCGTAAACATTCACAGATTTGCCTTGCTTAAGATTTTTAAACTTCGGATTCTTATCAAATTGTAACCCTAAACGATAGAGCCATTCTTTTACTATAATCAGAATATGTCTTTTGATGAACAGATGTCAGAAGTGGGATTTGAACCCACGCCTCCAGAAGAAACTGTGACCTGAACGTAACGCCTTGGACCGCTCGGCCATTCTGACACTCAAGTTCATTGTTATGACAATGTACTTTGTTCGTCATTAAAACCTGTTCTCAGTAGAAGTACAGAATAATTTGTAAAACGATCGTAAACGTTCACAGATTTGCCTTGCTTAATATTTTTAAAGTACGGATTTGTAGCAAATTGTGACCCTAAACGATAGAGCCATTCTTTCACTATAATCAGAAAATATCCTTTGATGAACTGATGTCAGAAGTGGGATTCGAACCCACGCCCCCAGAAGAGACTGCGACCTAAACGCAGCGCCTTGGACCGCTCGGCCATTCTGACTCTCAAGTTCATTGATATTACAATGTACTTTGTTCGTCATTAAAACCTGTTCTCAGTAGAGGTACAGAATTATTTGTAAAACGATCGTAAACGTTCACAGATTTGCCTTGCTTAAGATTTTTAAACTATGGATTTGTAGCAAATTGTGACCCTAAACGATAGAGCCATTCTTTCACTATAATCAGAATATGTCTTTTGATGAACAGATGTCAGAAGTGGGATTCGAACCCACGCCTCCAGAAGAGACTGCGATCTGAACGCAGCGCCTTGAACCGCTCGGCCATTCTGACTGTCAAGTTCCTTGTTATTACAATGTACTTTGTTGATCGTTAAAACCTGTTCTCAGTAGAGGTACAAAATAATTTGTAAGACAATCGTAAACATTCCCAGATTTGCCTTGCGTAAGATTTTTAAACTACGGATTAGTAGCAAATTGTGACCCTAAAAGATAGAGCCATTCTTTCACTATAATCAGAAGAGGTCTTTTGATGAACAGATGTCAGAAGTGGGATTCGAACCCACGCCTCCAGAAGAGACTGCGACCTGAACGCAGAGCCTTGGACCGCTCGGCCATTCTGACTGTCAAGTTCATTGTTATGACAAAGCACTTTGTCGATCATTAAAACCTGTTCTCAGTAGAGGTACATAATAATTTGTAAGACGTTCTTAAACGTTCACAGATTTGCCTGGCTTAAGATTTTAAAACTATGGATTTGTAGCAAATTTTCACCCTAAACGATAGAGCCATTATTTCACTATAATCAGAAAATATCCTTTGATGAACTGATGTCAGAAGTGAGATTCGAACCCACGCCTTCAGAAGAGACTGCGACCTAAACGCAGCGCCTTGGACCGCTCGGCCATTCTGACTGTCAAGTTCATTGTTATTACAATGTACTTTGTTCGTCATTAAAACCTGTTCTCAGTAGAGGTACAGAATTATTTGTAAAACGATCGTAAACGTTCACAGATTTGCCTTGCTTAAGATTTTTAAACTATGGATTTGTAGCAAATTGTGACCCTAAACGATAGAGCCATTCTTTCACTATAATCAGAATATGTCTTTTGATGAACAGATGTCAGAAGTGGGATTCGAACCCACGCCTCCAGAAGAGACTGCGACCTGAACGCAGCGCCTTGGACCGCTCGGCCATTCTGACCCTCAAGTTCACTGTTATGACAATGTACTTTGTTCGTCATTAAAACCTGTTCTCAGTAGAAGTACAGAATAATTTGTAAAACGATCGTAAACGTTCACAGATTTGCCTTGCTTAATATTTTTAAACTACAGATTTGTAGCAAATTGTAACCCTAAACGATAGAGCCATTCTTTCACTATAATCAGAATATGTCTTTTGATGAACAGTTGTCAGAAGTGGGATTCGAACCCACGCCTCCAGAAGAGACTGCGACCTGAACGCAGCGCCTTGGACCGCTCGGTCATTCTGACTCTCAAGTTTATTGTGAAGACAATGTACTTTGTTCGTCATTAAAACCTGTTCTCAGTAGAGGTACAGAATAATTTGTAAAACGATCGTAAACGTTCACAGATTTGCCTTGCTTAAGATTTTTAAACTACGGATTTGTAGCAAAATGTGACCCTTAACGATAGAGCCATTCTTTCACTATAATCAGAAAACGTCCTTTGATGAACAGATGTCAGAAGTGGGATTCGAACCCACGCCTCCAGAAGAGACTGCGACCTGAACGCAGCGCCTTGGACCGATAGGCCATTCTGACTGTCAAGTTCATTGTTATTACAATGTACTTTGTTTGTCATTAAAACCTGTTCTCAGTAGCGGTACAGAAAAATTTGTAAGACAATCGTAAACATTCACAGATTTGCCTTGCTTAAGATTTTTAAACTTTGGATTCATATCAAATTGTAACCCTAAAGGATAGAGCCATTCTTTCACTATAATCAGAATATGTCTTTTGATGAACAGATGTCAGAAGTGGGATTTGAACCCACGCCTCCAGAAGAAACTGTGACCTGAACGTAACACCTTGGACCGCTCCGCCATTCTGACCCTCAAGTTCATTGTTATGACAATGTACTTTGTTCGTCAATAAAACCTGTTCTAAGTAGAGGCACAGAATAATTTGTAAAACGATCGTAAACGTTCACAGTTTTGCCTTGCTTAATATTTTTAAACTACGGATTAGTAGCAAATTGTGACCTTAAATGATAGAGCCATTCTTTCACTATAATCAGAATATGTCTTTTGATGAAAAGATGTCAGAAGTGGGATTAGAACCCACGTCTCCAGAAGAGACTGCGACCTGAACGCAGCCCCTTGGACCGCTCGGCCATTCTGACTCTCAAGTTCATTGTTACGACAAAGTACTTTGTCAATCATTAAAACCTGTTCTCAGTAGAGGTAAAGAATTATTTGTAAGACGATTGTAAATGTTCAGAGATTTGCCTGGCTTAAGATTTTAAAACTATGGATTTGTAGCAAATTGTCACCCTAAACGATAGAGCCATTCTTTCACTATAATCAGAAAACGTCCTTTGATGAACAGATGTCAGAAGTGGGCTTTGAACCCACGCCTCCAGAAGAAACTGCGACCTTAATGCAGCGCCTTGGACCGCTCGGCCATTCTGACTGTCAAGTTCACTGTTATTACAATGTACTTTGTTCGTCATTAAAACCTGTTCTCAGTAGCGGTACAGAAA